GAGGAGAAACAGATCATGGCAGACATAAGGCAGCAAGCAGTGAAGTAGCAAAGCACCAAGTGACAACAGCAGCCTTCTTTCTGTCCTTTATGTTCTATCCAGACTACCTGCCCTTACCACTCACACCATGGTGGGGTACCCTTAATCCTAGCATCTCACCATGAACCAATCCCAGCATCACATACTTAATCCTACCATCAAACACTCTAGATCCATCCACCTTTGAAAAGCCCCACCTATGACCATATGAGCCTTAGGGGTGGGGGGGCCATCTAGACACAAGCCATAACACCTACCAATGTGTTCAGAAACCAATTTTAGTCATGAACTGAATGAAATTTTCTTATAAGTTTCAGTGTAAATAAAGTTAATCTGTTCTGAACCATATATATATTTTAAACTAAAATATGAAACAAGTGCAATACATTATAGCACAGTACAGTATGCAGAGAGAACACTAACCTTGTTTGAGGCAATGTCTGGCATAGAAGATAAGAAGGTGAGTGGGAGGCTTATTTTTTGGAGGGAGAGTCCCCCACCATAAGAACATGGGGCCATCTTCTTCAGGGTTTCCCTCTTTGTCTCTTACCTACAGGGTCAATTCTGATGAAAAATCTATGTAATGTCACTTGTTTTTTCCTGCACTGCATAACTCTCTAGAAATGAGAGACAGTGCTATCGTTTATCAGATTCAGCACTCTATTCGTTATAGTATGTTGGGGTGGTGCTTGTCAAACACCACCTGGAGTGCCAAACCTGGCGCTCATTCCACTTTTCCATAATGGCTTTATCACATCCCTGCTAACCTCCTCCCTGTCTTCCTCTTCCTCAGTGGATGCTCCTCAGCAAGTGCCTTCTGCTGCTCACTCTGGAGTTCAGCAAGTTCTTCCATCATCAGCTCCTCCACATGGTCCTCCTCTATGTCTGCACCATTGATGTCCAGATCCATACTCTTGCCCATGGGCACAATCTTCTCCACTACCTGTGTATCAGGTGTCACGTTAAGTGACACATCCTGGCCACAGTTTCCTCCAGGCTGAGTTTAAGGTCCGGTATGTGACATATTCCCAGGCTTTGTCAATGAGGTTGATGCAGCGGAGGACTTTGAAATGTTTCTTCCAGAACTCTTTCAGAGTCAAGGACATCTCTTCAGTGACATTAAAACAGCTGGTGAAGAGCACCTTTGTGTACAGCTTCTTGAAGTTGCATGTCACTTGCTGGTCCATGGGCTGCAGGAGAGGTGTCGTGTTGGGGGATAGGAACTTGACCTTTATGAAATCATACTCAGCATCCATATCATCCACCAAGGCTGAAGGCATTGTCCGTCAGAAGGGTGGTTGTCAGAAAGATACTTCTTAAAAACAGTGTGAACACCTTATGCAGCCATTCCGTGAACAGTTATCTTATGGCCCAAGCATTATCATTGGCCTTTCGCACAACAGGCAATCTGGCCTTGTTCACGTTCTATTCCTTGAGTGCATGAGGGGTCTCAGAATGGTACACCAGTAGTGGCTTCATCTTCAGACTGGTGCTTACATTTGCACACAGCAGAAGGGTCAATCTGTCCTTCATGGGCTTGTGCCCTAGCAAGGCCTTTTCTTCCCGCATTATATAGATACTGTTTGGCAACTTTTTCCAGAAGAACCCTATTTCATTGCAGTTTGGCACTTGCTGAGCAACGTATCCTTCTGCCTTCATGAATTCCACAAATTCTTTCTTATATGTTTCTGCAGTGCTCTTGTCAGAACTGGAAACCTCACTATGTCTTATCACACTTTGGATGCTACCTCACTTGTGGAATTTATCAAACCACCCTCTATTGGCTTTAAATCCATTGCTTGTTGCTCTTATAGAGGGGTTTTCTTGCAGTGAATCACTGTGTAATTTCTTGGCTTTTCACAAATTATAGCTTCATTAATGCTGTCACCTTACAGCTGTTTCTCATTCAACCACACTAATAAAAACTTTTCCACCTCTTCAAGTTCTTGTGTCCTCTACTTGGTTAACATTGCTGCTGCTTTTGCCACCTCAGCTCCGTTGATGGCATCTTTATTCTTCAAAGTAGTGGAGATTCTCTGCTTTCTGTCCTGTGGTCTGAGGCCAGGTCAGGCACACAAATACAATGCTTATGCTTGCTGCAACTCTCTTCTTCAATTCAGTGGTTATTTTTTAAAAGATCTTACCATTCTTGCTGTGCACATTCTGGTTACCTCCAGTACAGCTCCATACATGTTTGTCACCTTCATTACCACTCTGCACTTTCTTTTTACTGCCATGCTTACTATGCAATTTCTTTGGAGCTATGCTGGATTGAAAAATACTGTACAGTACTGTATGCACTGAAAAGCACACAAAGAAGCTTCACAGCAAGTGAAGCTGTGACCGCGACAACTACAGAAATCCACGCCGACATGTCCCAGCAGGAAAGATGGCTGTGTTTGTGTTCATTGCCTGATGCAGAGTTCACAAACACAAGCAAAATTTTGCTGAACTCCTCTATTTAAATAGAATAGAAGGGGGCGTTACTGTATCTGTACTAGAGAATGTCTAGTGTATATTGCCTTCTAAGTATGAAATTTCTGATACATGAAAGTGTAATATTTTACATTTATCTGTTCTTTAATTTTCATAGTTTTCATTCTTCCTATAACAAATCTCCACAAACTCAGAAGTGTAAAGTAATACCCACATATTATTACAACTCAGAAGTCTGGGCACAATCTAGCCCACCTGAGTTCTCTTACTGGGGTCTCACAAGGCCCAAGTCGAGGTATAGTCAGGACTACATTCCATCCTGGAAATCCTGCAAAAGAATTTGCTTCTAATCCCTTTCACATTTTGGTGAAATTTATTTCCTCCTCAAATGTTTTGTGTGGCCCTTTCTATCTAAGAGCCAACAGTGGTGGGTTTGAGTCCCTCTTGTGTTTCAAATATGCCTTTGCGCTAGTCAGAAAATATTCGGTGCTTTTAAGGGCTCATGCAGTTACATTGGCTCTATCCAAATATTCTAGCATAATCTTATTGTAAGACCAGTTGAATATTAAGATCATTATTTTAATACATTTGCAGTGTCCCTTTTGTAATGTAACATACCATATTCACAAGTGTAATACCAGGGCCTGAACATAATAGGAGTTAGAAGTCTACTTACCATAATTGTGTCCTGCAAACTGGCCGAGCCACTTCCTCATTCTAATAGTATTAGGTTTCTATAGTGGTTCCTATATAAAAACCATGTTGCCTGTGAATGAAGACAGTTTTGCTATTTTATTTCCCAATCTGAATACTTTTATTTCTTATGCTTGTCTAACTGCCTTGGCTATAACTTCAGTACAATGTTGAAAAAATGTGGTATGAAACATACTTGTCTTATTCCCAATGTTAAGGATGGAACATTTATTCTCTCTCTGTAAAGTGTGATGGTAGCTGTAGGTTTTTCACAGATGTCCTCTATGAGACTCAGGAAGTTATCTTGTAGGCTTAGTTTTTAATGAATGATTATTGTATCTTCCCCAATGCTCTTTCTAAACCTGTTAAAAAAGTCATGTGATTTTTGCCCTTTATTCATTCATACATTACATGAGTTTAGTGTTCCTTGGATAGATTAAACTTGATCGTGATTCAATTTGCTATTATTATTGAGATTATGTTTTTATTAACAAGGGATATCAGTGTATAATTTTCTTTTTTTGTGTGACATATTTGTCTGGGTGTACTATAAGAATAATATCATCCTCTAGGATGAAGTGTCTCCATTTTCCAGAAGAATTTGTGAAGGATTGGAATTATATCCCCTGAAAATATTTGGTAGAATTCAATCTCTTTGTTATTCATTTGATTTTGTGTAGATTCTATCAAGTGTAATGACTTTAAGATAAAATCCAGCTATCATTGTTGCTAATCTAGTCAACTATAAATGAACCAATTTAATTAGAATTTAACTGTCATTGACTGTTAACTTTTGTATTTGAACAGGTGCAATAGTTTATGTTTGTTTTTTTTTGTCTTTTTTTGAGACAGGGTCTCGCTATGCAGTTCAGGCTGGCCTTGAGCTCACTTTGTAGCCCAGGCTGGTCTCGAGCTTGCAACAATCCTGCCTCATCCTCCCGAGTGCAGGGATTACAGGCGTGCACCACCATGCTGGGCTGCAATAGTTTATGTTGACACCTTTGGAAATCATTTAAGAAATAGTCTGGCTTATAAATCATTTAATTTGAAAGAATAGCTTTCAAAGGTAACAGCACCTACCAGAAATTTTTTTAAAATCAGAAGCCTTATAAAAATCTTCCAGTAAGAATAAAATGTGCATAACAATCTTTCAATGATTTTAAAGGCTTTGTAAACTTTTCTTACTTCCTACAAAACATGTACATTCTGAATGGAAAAACTCAGTCTCTGCCCCCTCTTTTACTAGATACCTGCTTCTCTCATTTTCTTCGTCTAAATAAAAATGTTCCCACTGGTTATTTCTACCACTTTAATTTTAGTGGAAAATGCTGATACAGGCTCACTTTCTACAGATCTTTACTAACTGTTGTAGGCCCTTTATTGGTCTGGGACCTCTGACAGAAAAAGTTTATGTGAGGAATCAGATTAGTTCAGCATGTTAGATTTCAGTTGAAAAAATAATCCTGTGAAAGGTATATGAAAATCTAAATTAAACCTATAAGTGGACTCCTATTTAAAGTTGGCAGTATTGGTACGGTTTTTGTAATAAGGCAGTGAATGGCCTCACATCTCAGGGCAGTTCATACATATTTTATTTTGAAAAGTATAAATTAAAATCTGATAGGTATCTTATTGTAACTGTATACTAATCAGTCCCCTATTACTCCTTTTGGCAGTTTCTGTCGGTTATATTGCTTTTTTTGAGATTAATGATAGAAAAACAAGAGGAAAAAATGAATAGGATCTTATATGTAAGCAGAAAAATATAGATACATGTAGTTTATAAAGTTCTTCAGTTCATCTTGTAACAATGTCTTGATCCTTTTTCTTAGACCAGAAGATCAATTCAGAAGTTACTAGAATGGGAAAATAACAGATTATATCACAAGGTAAGAAACTGTAAGCAAAGCTGGGCATGGTGACGCACAGCTATAATCCCAGCACTCTGGAGACTGAGACAGGAGGATTGCCACCAGTTTAATACCAGGCTAAGTTACATAGTGAGTTCAAGGCCAAGCTGAGCTATGTAGTGAGAGCCTGTCTCAAAAATTCCCCCACAAAGAAAGAAATTATAAGCAAATGAATGCCCTACTCGTAAATCCACATTCTTACATTGAAAAAGAAATAAGTACTAAATGGGAGTCTTTCAGGCCGTGAAGGAATGGATTACAGAACTAATATTCAATTTTTAATATGTATTATTTATCAAGTATTTTCAAATGCTATGTTTCATATCATATACCTGGATTGCTTTCAATGACCTATTCAAATATATAGGTTATAATTTAAGTTCATACAAAAATTCTTAACAAAACTGTGCTTTCTTAGCTTGCTTTGCACTGGAAGTTGACTAAAAGGAAATGTGAAACTAGCAATATGATGGAGTATGTAAGTATGAAGTTGTCTTAATTATATTGTTTTATTTCATCCTAAATGTAATGTTTTACTATGTTTGGCAGCTGTCATCTATTCTTCTTGCCATTCTTCTCCTCGGTCTGAATTTCGTTTGGAATGCAGAGGTTTCCCTTCACCTTTAGATTTGTAGCTAACTTAAAATATCCTGAAAGCTAACAGTTATTTAGATCTTAGAAAAGCATGCTTAGATGAAAACACTGTATAACCTCAACGTTCTTTTAACACAGACACCAACCATGCTATTGTGGTGAGAAAAGCTGCTGTTAAAATATTTTCAAATGTTGTCAAAACTTACATAAAATAGAAATTGACCTATGCATTCTGAATTCACAGTTCTGGCTTTTCTTCTTGCCTCACATTTACCATTTTTAATGAAGAAACTGTAAGTTTTAATACAGGTTCAGGTTTTTTTCTGAAAGCTATAAATCTTAGTCATACAACGTAAGTTTCCATATAGCCAATATGATCAACCCACATCATTAACATTCAAAAGAATTTAAAATTTATCCAAACTTCAAGCTGCTGACATGTAGTACAATATATATTTAATAATAAAGATACCATTTAAAGTAGGGTTATTATAGAATCTATTGCCACTTTGAATAGTTTTGAGGAAAATGTGCAAATGACGACAAATGTAAAATCTATTACAGATAAGACATTCAAAAATATATTAGATTATTATTGCTAAAGCTTCTTATAAAATGTTTGGGTTAGTCCAGTTGGACACTCTTCCTTTTCCCAAACAACTTGTGAAAGATGGTAATCCTCCACTAATATCAGCTGCCTTAATTGAAAAATGTGTAAACATATTGTACATTTTTTTCTATTCCATATAGTATAGTTTATATCCCTTCCAGTTAGCTAAAAAAATGATGGGAGGAAGGACATGATAATAGCATAATTTAATAGAGATGCTGTTTCTACATAGTTTTATCTACCAGAGACTGTGGTCATAAATTTCACTTGCTTTGTATAGTGCAGGATCAAAATACAGCCCTGTGGAAAAATGACTAGACTTCTAGTTTATGTATGCCATAGTAAATGAAAAATCTTTTGTTTTTATTTTACAGGTAATACTAATAGAAGTCTTACCAAAATATCCCATATTCCGACCTGACTGAGAAGTTTTATCCAGTCACTTCTATGTTACCTGTCATTTCCTACCCTTAGTGCCTTGTAGATGATTTTGGAATGAAGATGGTCTTCTTTGCTGTATTCAGCTTATTCTTTATAATGGTAGAATATTCTCCTCACTCTTCTATTTGTGTTGGTTTAAGAAGAAAATTTGCACATCTTTTTTGTTGTTGTTAAATTAAGCTTGTGTTTTGCACTCTAAAATTTTTAAATACACATATACATACATATATATATACACATACATATATATGTATATATATATATATATATAGTTGCCACTAAAACTAAAACATCAATACTGGTGTTTAAAAATGAAAACAACCTTGTTCTGAGCATGCTGCCTTATAATTTTCATACTCAGTGTTTCTAAATATGCATCATTTTTCTAGGCTACTTAATGCTCTGTAATCCCTTACTGAACACTTAAATAAGCTTTTGGTAGCATTTAGAAATGGTTTTGCTCTGCTTTTAAAGGACATGCAATTAATAGTTCTGGTTCTGTCCTGCACTTTGCTAAATTATTACTTTATGTTAGTGGATAAAATATTTAAACTTCTAAAGACTTGTAAATATTGTCTCTTTGCGTAATGTAAAATGTGGTATGCCATGGTTTACAGAATGTAATATTACTCTTACTATATTGCCAACAATTCTGCATAGATTTTTAATATGAATGAAATTTGCAAGCGTCCTTCTGAATGTAGAGACCGTTAACATACAGTTTTATGGCAAAGCTATGAGTTTGTTAAAATTTCAGGTGTAGGACAGGGTTGCCCTTTGTGTAACAAGCAGATCAAAATTGAAATCATTATCTCAGATATTGTGCATTGCACCTGAAACTAAGGACCTTATTTTTTCCCATTTATTCCATAGTTCTCATTTTGACCTTTACTCCTTCTATCAAAATAATTTATTTTACATCTGATACATTTTATAACCTCAGTATTCATTTCTTTTTTCTTTTCTTTCTTTTATTTTTACATATTTACTCCCTCTGTTGAGAATGCTCAGAAATATGACTTTTAAGAAGTATTTTGAAGTTTCACATATCTTGAGGAGTATCTAGACCCCCATGAAAGCCACTGATGACCCTTTTCTGGAGTTCAGATATTCTGTTCTGGGAAAGAGCTAGTAGAGAAACTATGCCTAAGGAATATACTGTGGCTGACGCATAGTTGAGAAAATATTCTCAATCATCTTTTTGAGGATCTTTTTAAAAAACTTGGACATTATTAAAGAAAGACAGATGTTTAGACAAAAATATTTTAGTTTACAATTTTAACTCACATGTAGCCATTTGTTTGGTATGTGCATATTTCTGTGTTTCTTTTCACAAATAAGATGGAGAATACCACTCCAGTTTTAGTAGAATGTGAAATTCTAGCATAACAAAAGCTTCATGTCACATTAATTAACTGTAAATGTATGTCTGTGTGTAAGTGTTATTTATCATTCATACTGCTCAAAGTGAAAAGTGTCTGGGACTGAATAATATATTTGTCATCCTCCTCTCACTGCTTTTAGTAAGCTTTGTAGGCAAGCATTCATCCCAGCGAAGAGAACAATCATTTATTCACACAAGATCAAGCCTTTTATGCTACTTTTAAATTTTATGCCTAATTTTAAATCCACAACATTTGACCAGTAAAAAAGGAGGAGGAAAAGAGAAACTTATTTGATACATGATTATAATTGTTTGCACAAATGTTTTCCCACCTCCCTCTGTGGAGCCCCCTTTATTCACATGCCAATTAGCAGCTCCATATCTCTAACTTTTAATATATTGTGTGAGCCTGCAAATATGTATTTGCCTCTGTAAAATTGAAGGTGTATTTTTATAGATAAGATGGAAATCTCTGAAAACGCATACCCAGTGTTTTGTCTTATAGCTAAGGTCAAGGAAAACTTGTATGTGTGGTTTATGTTCCAGCTAATGTCATCAAATTTATGCTTCAGACTGTGAAATTTTAATACCAAAAATGATTTCCAGCATAATACACAATTTTTAATCGTTGCTGATAGAATAAATTGCTTCTTAGTATCAACCTTTAAACTCTTAACTTTTTTCTGTAATCTTGGAATTTGACCATTAGGTGATTGTAACTTTTTCTGCCTTGTATGTATATGTATAAACCTCATTTGGTTTTCCTCAAAGAACAGCAGGAAGTGGTGAATTATTTTCGTGAAACAAATATTAAGACAAGAATAGAGTCTATTGGAGGTGACAGAGTACGGTATTTGTCATAAAAATCATTTGTTGGCATATATAACTTTTCTCTGCAGTGAGGGTGATCCAATCTAGGGCTTCGTGCATATGCTAGTCAAATGCTCTACCTCTGAGCTACAACCCCAGCGTGTGATTGTTTGTTTGTTTTGGAGACAGCATCTAGCTAAGTTACCCAGTTGACCTGAAAGTTGTGCTTCTCCTGCCTAAGCCTCCCAATTTTAATCACTCTTAAACTGATTATTTTATTGTTCATTGTAATGCTTGGCTAATCTTAGTTACTTAGATTACTCAGAAAGCACCGGTTTTCTTTTTCTTTTTTTTCTTATATAACTGCTGTTTCAAACTGTTTTCCCTTACAAGAGGCTGATTAGCAGTTGGGTACTTTGGAGTGTTTGGGAGGGGATTATTTTCTTTTCAGTGAAATTGGCAGCATTGAATGCTGAAATGACATTCCTCCCCCCCCCCCAAGTCTTTTTGTTTTATCCTCAGGATGGTGCATACTTGTTTTTTCCATTGGGTTACTATTTTCATGAGTTGTTTTTAGGTTGAAAAAAGTAATTTTGATTTTCTTTGTTACATAATACTGCTTTATAAAATTGGCCATAGTTGCATACATTTGCCAAAGCACGTAAATTTCATTAGGCTTTGAGGTTACAATGTCAGAGATTTCTTTTAGAATTCACATTGGAATGCCTCTCATTTGATCCAAGATTCTAGCTTAATAAATTGATCGATAGCTATCAATTGTAGCTTAATAAATTGATCACTGGCCATTTTTAAACTCGTCCAAAAGGCCAGTACCATTCATATTATTAATAACAAATATGGGCAAGTGTCATTTACAGATTGATTCCATCCCGAGGCATGTCCTTTATTCTTTGTTCCCTCCTACCTCCACGTTAATTTCAAAGAGACCACTATAGTCAGACATTTGAAGTAGACGGAGAAGTGCCTTGTCTTTTTGGAACAAAGATAACATATTACGTGGAAGGAAGCAGAATGAATGAATCGATAGATTATTACATTAGAAATCATCCTCTTCAACTAGATATAAGAATACTTTTCCAGTGTATCATATTTTATTTATTATGCGAAGTCTGTTTCCTTGTTTTCCTCTAATCATGTGACATATTAATGACAGACTATCACAGAAGAAGACTGTTAGTCACTTAAAAACTAGGATAATGTTAATGCCGGTAAGCATACTTTAACATGGTTCTGGAAGGACAGTGGTCTTTGATTGAAGCCCTACCAAAACCCACTTAAGTATTTAATGTCTATACCATTCAGATTATTATGACCTATAAACACTGATGTCTGGGAAATGAAACTTAATACTTATCAATCTATTTTAGTGAAATTTTTGTTTTTTGATAATTTGAATGGTTTGATAACATTTGTAAGCCTTAAATAGGGATTTTTGAAGAATATGAGAGCTTTAAAATCATTAGCATTATTTTCTTTATAGATAACTGCCACTTTAAAAAAATTAAACCTTACTACTTCAACATAAAGCCCCCAAATGGTATTTCATTAGAATATACTGTATTGATATAGGTAAATACAAAGGATGCAGAAATAATATTCATCCAGTGATTAATTGGAGCACTTTTACATGGTGGAAATACTGTTTGACAATTTGATTATAAATGCTCAAGTTCATTAAAATTAGGTTGTCTTGCATCCATAGAAGTCTGCTCTTTACAAAAACTATTTTGCAGCATTTGCCAAATTCCATTTCCCTTAAGTGGTGAACTTTTGGAGAATTTTTCACAGAATAGGAATAGGTTTTATTAAGATCTGCACATGCAATATATAAGCTAAAGGATAGGTGATAGAAAGATGGATAGGTCGAGATACAGATATAACCTGATTATAAACCAACCTTTTCAGTTTGATGATGGCAACCTGAGAATATATTTCATTTTCTATGGGCTTTGTCAAACTCTTATCAAAGGAAGAAATGATCTAATGGTCTGGGCTCCATAAAAGTCCCCTAAATTGCATGTCAGCCTCTTGATCTGTAACATTACAGAGTTGAACCTAGAGATGAACAGAAAATTAGAGATTACCCAACACTGTGTGATGCTAGCAATTCTTAGCAAATTTTTACTCTACAGATTGTTAGAGTGCTTTTTCTCAGATCTACCACCCTTGAGGGAAACTCTCACAGTGCCTTGCACGCAGTGAAAGTTCAGTTAGCTGGATGGCTGTTAATTCAAGTGTATTATTGTTACTCAGACTTAACCTGATGCCTGCTAGACCTTAGTTCTTCCACGTAGGTAAAAGTGAATGTAATTCCCCAGGAACTGAGGACTGAGGTATCTGCTGTACCTATGTGGAATCTGACTATGCAGTTGATATCCAGGCAAGAATTATAGTTTTGACAATGGATATATGGTTTAACATTTATGTGGGGAATTTCATATCTAACTCAACATCTGCTTTAGTGTTTTATCAAGTCCCATACCCTCAAAAATATCTGTTGGAACAAACTGCTAAGTTTAGGTGGAAAGGAAAATAATGTGAAATTCAAACCCAAGTCAGTTCTAGTTTAATTTTTAGCTTTGCTGCCTAATTCCTCTGTACCTCATGTCCTCATTGCTGAAGTGGGGACAATAATCTGTACCTACCTCACAGGGGAATTGAGGATTTTTTCATGTATCAATGTATTCTGAAGTTGATTGAAAGATATACTAGTTATCATAATTATGTAATTCCTAAATAGATTCACCCAAATCTGTGTTTGTTTTCTTTCTCAGTAAGACCCTACAGAATGAGTGTTGCAGTTGATCTGTTTTTCAGTAATAAATTTTGTTATTAATCCCCTATTTGTTAAACATGACTAATCGTATTATGTTAATACTTGATTAGGGAGGAAAAGCAGGTGGAGTAAACCAGTGGTTCCCAGTTTGGGGCAGATGGAAATAAAAGTGGGTGAGATCCTTGATCCTTTTAAATTATTTCAAAAAATATACTGGAAGTCATACGTTGACCCGTAATATTTCTGCTACACAAGCCAATTGAGACATGGACTTTTCAGGCATTTTGCTTATATTCTTTCAATTGTGTCTGTAAGCACTGCTCAATAACACTGATTAGAAGCTGTGAATAGCATTATTTTCATTAATAAAGAGAAGCCTATTACATGCAATTTGTTAAATACTTGAAAACATGGAAAAGGAATCATGAAGAGATTCACATGATGAAAATGTTAGGAGCCATTTTTATAAAGGTACTAAGATTACTTGACTCTCCACAGATTGCTTACCTAGTCCCTAAATAATGAAAGTGTGTGTGTGTGCATGTGTGTGTGTGTGTTTGGGAAATTGGTCTATATAACTTCAGGTTAGAATTAATTTTCAGTTTTCTTTTTCAGGACAATATAACAGCTAATTCACTGAGGTGTGTTCAAGTAATTCATATATATACTATATATATATATGATTGCAAATGTGGGAAGTGTTATGTCATGTTTTAGCATTGGATTATATATCCATTTCTGAGTCCCAAAAGTAGTTCTGTGTATAAACTCAACATGAATCAGGGCAATAATTTCTCAAATATTCTTTTTATTTCTGTTTATATTATTTAAGCTTTTATCTTGGCTTAATTTTCCATTTTTCTAGTAAACAAATAGTGTAAAACTGTTTTAATGTGTGGACTTTGGGACAAGTTACAAATGTTTAAAATTATATAAGCTACAAGCTAGTTTGCTATCCTTAGAGTAATCACAATCAAATACAAGTCTCAGCGGCAAGAACAGAACATCCTGATAGCTAAAGTGGGCATTGATTAAAACAGCTGGCCAAAAAGCCTACGATTTCTACCTTTTGGCAGAGGATTCCCATTGGGACAGCTTTATGAGAAGAGAATAATAGTGGATGTCCATTCAAACAAAGAACTGTGATGCTTCTTGTAGTGTTACATAGCCTGTGGAATCAATTCATGTTTCTCCCTTGAGTCCAGGTTGACTCCTCTGGAAGAACTCAACCTATATACAGCTGTGCCAAAATAAAGAATACTTGTCTCTCTGAAACTTTCACTGCTGCTTTTGTCATTGTTTATTTGTCAAATGAAACTTTATTCTCAGGATGCAAAATTAAAATAAAGTGCAAATCTATATAATATCTTGAATTGTGTATTTTTAGGGGCACATCTTCCTTTCTTTGTAGTTTCATCATTATGAGGTAATTATTTAAAGGTTCTTTTAAAAGTTTTAATTTGCATATCACCGCTTCCCACATTGGCTAGTGTTATGTCTGATCCTACCTGCAATTTATGACATATATTGCATTTGGGGACCTTTTGTTCCTCATGTTTGGCAGATGGCTAAATATAAAGTTATTGCAAAGTGACTTTTCCTTCACTCTGCATGCTTACCCTATGAAGTATAAAATTAAAATATGAAGAGTTCATCCTAGTCACAAGATGACAGTGGCAAGACAAGGAAGCTTCCAGTTGTACCCCTGAATACTCAGATCCTCCACAATGGAGGAACCAAAGCTAGATATGGGAAGGCAGACAGGAGAAACTCCAGATTCAAATCCACTATAAGGTGAATTTCAAATGGGAAGCCCCTACACTCTGGGTCTGACATATGCACCATCTTGGTAGAAGATCTAATGCCCTCAGAGCCAGCAAGGAAGGGCCCAGGCTGCTCCTAACCTTTCTACTCACCCCACCTCTAGGGAGAATGCGGTCAGATAGTCAAAGGCTAGAGTATCAGAGAAACAAAAGTGGACAAGAGGTGTTTGGGAGGGCCTTAGTGGGCCCTTGCGGAAGCTGAAAGCAGGGGCATTAACCCTGATTAGGGACCTTGATCTGAGTGCTGAGAAGACTGGTTCAGGGGCTGCATAAGCAGGAGTGTCTGTGAGTAAGGAGAACCTAGGGAGAGGAGACAACAGATCCCAGAATAGGAATCTGCCCATACTTCCTCCAAACACCAGAAGTGTTTGTGCCCATGGGACATCCTGATCCCTATTCATGATGGAGACCATCAGCCAGCTAGACAGAAGGTGTTCAGTGGTGTGCTTGGCAGTAGGCTTGTGAGAGAGAGTAGGAAAACAGCAAGATTTGCTTTGCAGGGAAAGGATTGGAATGGACAAGGGCTCACACAGAAATCAGTAAACATTAATTACTAAGCCAGTCACACTGCATCCTTTCCTCCAATTATCTGAGGGGTCTGACCTTAAGACAAAGGCAAAGGCCTACAGGTGGCCACGCCCAGCACTTAGAGCATAGAAGAACAGTTAGAGGAACATCCAGATCTACAAACCTTCTCACTCACTGGAAGACACTTGAGCAGGTCATGAGGAGGACCAACTTGGAGGCCTGCAATAACAGTAACACTGTGGAATGGAAAGGGTGAGGAAAAGAGCTAACTTGTGGACACAGCAACTCTGCAGCAAGGCCACAAAAGGGAGAGAACCAGGCCCAAGGGTCATTTGGGTCATCCCTAGAGACTGAACCTTACCCACCTGTGAACATGGGAAAGAACTCACTGAACGCAGACTGCAACACTTTAATACAACATTTTAATACTGTGTTTTTGCAACCACATTTTTGGTGTTTACTTTTTTCTCCTTTTTTCTCTCTTCCTCTTTCATCCCTTTATCTTCCCTCTTCATATTATCTTTACATCTAGCATATATATATATATATATATATAGGAAGTATGTATAAACGCAATGGAGAATATCCAGTGCTTTAAATAGTAGCTTTCAGAGGCAGTTCAGTGTAACCTTCACCAAAATTGGGTATAGAGGATGCACACATAAGCTAACTCTCAACATGCTAACAGGTTCCAACATTCTTACAACTTCCCTCAATGTGTCTCCTCTGCTCTTCCTACAAACAATTTTTGAAACCCCCTCAAAATTAGCCCTCTATCCAGCTATAAAAATAATTCCAGTAGAATCCAATCTCTTCTCTGGTTTTCACCTATTGATAGTTACCTCCTTCTCAACTTACCTTTCTTTTTCCTTTTCCCTTCTCACCCATATTCCAATCAACCTGTTAGTAGCAGTATGGGGCAGTCTGCATAGGGCACTGTTAAAAGTCAACATAAGTTTTAATGTACATGACAGATGGTTAGATCTGCTAACACTGGTATAACTGATAGGGAGTCTGTCCATGCAACACAGTGGCTGACTCTGATCCTATTAAACTGACTAGGTTGCAGGGGTAGATAAATACCAAAAAGCAACCAAATCCAAGATCCCATCACTGGGAAGGAGACACTAAAAAGATCTCCAAGCTACCAACAAAGTCTTTCAACTCTACTAGATCTTCAACTAGCATACACACACACACACACACACACACACACACACACAAATGAGACAGAAACATGAAAAAATGAGGCAACAAAATGCCTCCAAAAATTCCTAAATGCCACAAAGTAGATCAATGAGGAGGAAATCAAAAACTAAAGGGCTAAATTATATGAAGCGATAAAAGAACAAACAAAAAACAATATATATTTGGTAACCTCAAAGATGATATAACTAAAGAGATAATGGACTTATTAAACTACATGATCAAGGAGTTTAACAAAGACATGAATAAAAAAGTAATTGAGCTAACTGAAATAATGCAAAACATGAATAACCAGTTAGTGAAGAATTAAAAGCCCATGAAAAGATGCCAAATAGAAATAGAGGATGTAAAAATTGTATGGAGACTATGGGCAGCAGAAGCAACCAATGGGAAGAAAGAGTCTTACAACTAGGAGATATGGCTGAGACAGGTAAATGATGCCTTAAAAATAAAAGGAGATTACCACAGTTGCTGTGACACAAAGAAGACTAACCTAAGATTAAATGAAATTAGAGAAAAGTTACAACATGACATGAATGGCAGAAAAAACCTGTTTATAGAAATCACAGCAGAAAATTTTCTAAATGTTTAGAAAGAATTTAACATACAGGCAAGTGAAACATAGAGAATCCAAAATAGCCATAACCAGGGAAGAATTTCTCCATGACCCATCATGGTCAAAATCCCACAAGTCAAAGACAAGGACAAAATTAAATGCTGTCAGAGAAAAGCAACTAATCACCTATAAAGGTAAAGTTAGTAGAATAGCCAGAGTTTTCAACACAAATCAAAGATAAGGGGAGCATGGAAAAAAATTCTTCAACCACTACAATAAAAAATCTTCCAACCCCAGGTCAATATATCTGACAAGACTGTCTTTCAAAATTGATGAAGAAATTAGTACCTTTCACAACAAAGAGAACCGTAAGAAATCCAGGACCACCAAACCAGCATTACAGAAAGGAGACTGATGGATATCCTAGACATAGACAGTGAAGACAGTAATGAGAAAGAGCCTGCTGGAATGAATACAGCTAGCAGAGTAAGCAATTTTAAAAATGAAGAAAAAGCTATCAGCAGCACAAAAAAAAAATGTAATGACAAAAATCAGTCAATAGTTTTCAGTAGTAATTCTCAATGTAAATGGTCTCAATACCCAAATTGAGAGACAGATTGTCAGAAAGGATAAAGCAAAATAAAGCAAAACCTAATGGTATGCTGCATACAAGAAGCATTTAAGGGGATGGGGGATATGGCTCAGGGGCATAAATGCCTGCCTTGCAAGTGCACGGTCCTGGGTTCAATTCCCAGTGTCAAAAAAAAGAAAAACAAAGAAACATTTAATACTCATTTTAACACAGATTAAAACTGTGTAAGAAATAGAAATATAGGTAGACCATTTTCAGTTTGGATGGAAATTTACTGACCAGCGCACAGACAGTAAAGGTAGTTATTTTGAGCTTAACTACAGAGAATGACCCCCATTCAAAAAGTCCCAGAACAAGATGTTCAAACTAGATAACTGATAAGCAACATTCCACAAAGGAATGCACATAGAAGAGTGGGTTTACTAAAACACCAAAAGGCGCTTGGATGACAATCAGCAAGATTGTACCCACCCACCCCCCAACCTCAGCCAATGAGGAGAGGGGAAAGAGAATTTGCAAGCTAGGAGATAAAACCACTGTTTGTTTGAATAAGATGTACATGCTTACAAGACTGACACATTGCTGCAGAATCACCATTAGTTTTGCTTTCAATGTACTTTATGTCTCTGAGTCCATAGCTATAGAGTATGGATGGTTGGCTTCTCCCACAAATGAAAGGATGGGAAATAATTTTTTTAATACATGAAAGCAAGAAGTAGTAACTGTCCTATTTTCACACAATGAACTTCAAGCCAAAATTGATCAGAAGAGGAAAAGGTCGGTACATACTGGTAAAACCAACAATTCAACAGGAAGAGATAAAAATTTATATATACACATATATATTATATGTGTATATATAATATATATGTATATATACTAT